TCCCGCCCAAAAATATTTCACGCGTCCGTACGTGAGAGCTAAAAGGGTTTGAATGTTCGTTTTGTGTCTACGTTTCTATACATAGGTAGACTAATTCGCAAACTTTTCAGCCTTGTAGCTTTTATAGGTCTTGAGATAGAAATGTTCGGGCGGACACACACAAACACGCATATATACATACACAAACACACACAGACAGGGTCTCGATAATATGCATTTTGCACAGCTGTTGCGGCAGAAAAGCGTAAAAAACAATAGATTACAAATTCAAGCAAATTTTTTAACCAAATGCTTATTTTATTTACCAATTTATTAACAATCATATTGCATTCCTCATTGTAACTTGTCCAAAAAAACTAATTATTTTTTCTTGTATTTTGAAAAACAGCGAACTAAAAATTCAAAATTTGAAAATGATAGATGAACAAGTAAAGCGGGGCAGTGATTTGAAACTGTACTGTTTTCCGATATAAGAGACCCTGTGCCTTATTACGAGCTGGCAAAGCAGAGCAAAACATGAACCCAATATTTTAGTGTTTTTTCATGTGCTTAATCAATCAAAACATCTTGGCAGAACGCTGCGTCTACCCAGGGAATAACCACAAAAAGCATCACTCTCTACCTTATTCTGTAAGAGTTGGTGTCTTTTAAGTGCAGAAGTGTGGCTGCTTTCTGTTATGCTGCTGGAGTTTTTTGGCATTCTCTTCACATTTAAGTTCGGCTTGCTCTGCAGAAAGCAAGAAAATTTTGGAAAATATACCTCACATGTTTAAATGAAACTCAAATGCGTTTCGCAAAATATCGGGAGAAAATTTGTAGAACACTGAGCGGCAGCACAATTACATGAGCAAGTATGTATCTGTCGCAAACGGTTATCGCTTTGACCAGTGACATGATTGTTTACGCCAGTTTTCTCGAAAGTGAGGTTCACCGTTTGATGGCTGAGATCATTGATGCAGTGGTTTGTCGTTTCATCAAGCCGAAATTGATCAAAAGGTTGAAGCCTCAAAGAGGGAACTGTCCAGTGAATCCGCGGAATGGAGGCATTACTGGAAGGGGCAGACGTATGTGCGGCAGGGTTGAAAGTAGAGGTGTGCCGCGTTGACTGTAGCTACCGCCAACACCAGCAGTCGGCAGTAACGGAAATGGCGAAAGTAGTGCTGGTAACTGGGTTCCTCCTGTCCTTAACGTGCTGCCGTCACGCTGGGCACCCGTAGTATCGCTTTGAATCCCTTGAGGCAACAGCAACCTCACGCCACGCTGATCATATGCATTCGACGCACCACCAACAGCTGCTGCTCCGCTAACGAGACCTCCATCTGCGGTTATAGGTGCAGGTGGCGGTGGTGGCAGGCTGTCTGGCTCAATAGCACTATTACCGTTTTCAGCATCTCCCGAATTTTCAAGTCCTTCAAGACCACCAGCACGGCGACTAGCATGAGCTCCATGACCTCGACTACCTCCGCAGCCGCCACCACCACTACCACCACCCTGGCACCCACCCTCTCCACCATAACTACCTCCACCACCAACATTTCCTCCACCTGATCTTCCACCCGATGACCCTCCTCCTCCACATCCGACACTTCCAGCGTTCCCTCCAGCACTTCCTCCACATTCCCCACCTCCGCCGCTACCACCACATTTCCCGCCTTGTGTGTCTCCACCAGCACCACTCCCTCCGCCTCCTACACCACCACTCCCACCCTCGCATCCCCCACTTCTACTTCCTCCCCCACCTCCATGAATAGCATTAACGCCTCCGCCCCCACCTCCGTCGCCCCCACCTCCACAACCTCCACTCCCTCCGCTACAAGCCCCCGCTCCTCCGCTGCTGTACCTCCCACCGCCTCCGCCGCTCCCACCGCCACAGCCTCCACTACCTCCACTGCCATAGCCCCCACCACCCCCACCACCACAGCTCCCACAACCCCCGCCGCCACTTCCCCTACCACATCCGCCGCCACAGCCTCCACAACCTTCGCCGCCACAGCCACCACCACTTCCCCCACAACACCCACCAGACCCCCCGAAACCCCCACAATTGCCACTGCAGCATCCACCGCCGCCTCCTCCACAGCAGCAACAACAGCAGCAGCAACAACAGTTATTCCTGAAAAATATACTTTTTTTTCTGTGTTGCGGTATCAAAGACAT